TCGCCTTCTTTCTTTATTTTGTGAAATGTAAACTGCTTATATAGAAACTGTAGAGAGCATTTATCATTCCTAGTATCAATTTAAGCAAAAATGAAATGTATATCTGAAGGATTTCTAATGTTTAAAATAAAAATGATTGTTTTAACGACCAGCCAGTTGTGATTTTACCTCCGGTCGTCTGCGCAACAGTTATCCTTGACCATGACTGAAGAGTGAATTGGTTTTAATTTCCTCAAAACTACAATATCACACACACACACTCATATATGAAGTTGAGAATGAGTGAATCCAGTTCAGAATCTTAAGACTGTATTGAGCTCTTCGTTCAGGGTTACTGCTAAATAGTTTGTTCTGTTATTAAGTTTTGATGATCTTCTTATGACCAGCGATATTCCTCGTGCATTAAAGATAACTTTGCTTAATCTTCTAGCTTTTTTACATTGAATTGTTTAGAGCCGTTTATGTTTTTGTTCGATGAATTTGGGGTTTAACTAATAGTAAATTTTACTTTAGAAGTAACCTTTCCTGTAACTATCGTTTTCAACCCACGTTTTGTTTTCGGCAAAATAAGATTTTAGCTTCGCGCATAATGCAAAATAGGGTAGAAGCTGCCATTTAAACTGTAGCCAAGAGCCAAATATGCGTTAAATTATCTCTGGGTGGGTTCGGTTGAATTATTCAACTTAGAATTAGTTTTAATTTTACGTTTTTGCTTGTATTTTAAGCTACCGTGAAAAGTATTGGCGAGGCTGTGTATGCACTAGGAGTTCCATCTGTTCATATTTTTCTTGAGTTGAAATAAAAGGGTCTTCTAACCCTTCGTATGTGTTGTTCATGATACAAGTTGAAATTAGCGAATAGTCGCTTGACAGTTCAAGTTAAGATCTAGAATCCAAATAGCTTTAATTTAGATAGAATCTTATAAATTGTTATTTATTTCAATAAAGTATCAGTTTCTTATTATTCATTTGGCGTAGTTGTTAAGATCTCAACGAACAAGTAACACACAATAGTATTATGTTATTTTACGTTTATTCAGTCAAAGGTTTCATTTATTATGTTATTGTCAATTATAGTCAAAGATATTTTATCGGAACTGAATTGAAAGTATCTGGTCAAGATCTTTTAAATTTAGTAAACTCTGAAACAGCTGGTAACGGGTTAAATTTTTAACAAGGTGCTGCTCAAAAAATAAATATTTGAACTATAAAAAATGATTACAATTTTTAGAACATTGCCTCGTGCTTCATGCCACGCTATCAAGTAATATATTTATAATCCAATATCAGAAAACATAACTCCGTTTATTATTAGACACGCTATCTATAATCCTTTGCTTAACTTCTTAAATGGAAAAACTTGTAGAAAAGACTAAAACTTTGATCTAATCCAAAAACATTTGATAGAATCTGACGTTCTTAGATACTACCAGCTACAAGTTTTTAAACTTACGCCATAAAAATTCCTAATCCAGATAATCTCCTATGAAAGATATTGAATGGATTAGATTTCTTCAGAAAAATGTTATTACAACGGAACGTATCAAAATCGTGTTTCACAGAGCTGAAGTTGTTATTGAGAAATTTTAACCGCGGTGCTCTTATTCCCTGCAGTAGCACCATAAATCTTAATCAAACTTATTATTAACTAAATACATTTTTATTTATGGCATTACTGCAAATACACATGTATGTAAATTTAAAAGAATAAAAGATAATTGTTAAAAATTAAACTTCTGTTAGAGGCCAAAATCTCTGCAGAAATTTACATAAGCATTAATATTGACGTTATCTTACTTTGTTTTTTTTGTTGAGTAATGCTAAAACATTGCCGTTAATGCCAAAATATAATTAAAATTGAAACAGCAAGAAATTGCTTCATCTATGTTTTCCAAGAAATTAATTATTTAATAGTATACTTGAGATCCATGCTAAAATGACGATTTTCCGACGTCGTTCCTAGCTATTTATTAAAATTTTAATTGAATTCTGGAAGATAAAAGCCATTATTCTAAGAGGAGAAATTTAAATTCCTGAAGCCTCGAAGAATGGAGCTTGAACGCCGCAGCTCTCAGTCCTGGGACACCCCAGACAATTGGACTGAATTCGAGTGAATATGGTGGAAAACCCATTCATGCAACATCCTTAGCTGGGAGGTATTCAGACAACATATTAATTTGACGAGGTTGAGGATTGTCATCTATGAATAAAATTTTGGTTTCAGAGTCCCACTAAAAAGCCATGTTTCAATGATGTACTTTCTGCAAGATCACAGAACCTCTAACACACATTTTGTGTTGTGTGACTGAGTGATTTATCACTCCTCCCCAAATAAACAATCGTTCTTACCGCGACAAAGGATAAAAGAGCCTTTCATAGTTCTGCTATGAAATGTTGCTATTTTAGCCCTTCACCAGTTTAATAATGTAGAATCACTATCCGAAATTGAACTTAGACTCATCTTAGTACTCGGACACCAGTCATCTTAGTTTCATAGACAATGAACACATTTTTGTTCCTGTTGAAGAGATACCTAATTTGTTTCGCCCTCAAAATTCACAAAGCTTTAATTAAAATATACGCCAGTCTAAAGCTGTTTTTTCAAAAGTCTACATTGGTGTGCTTTTCTGCAGTTTAAGCTGTCTTAAACGTTCTGCTTCGAAAGAAACAAAAAAAGGGCACAATGCAGTGATTGTGCGGTGATGACTGTATTGTATTGTCTGGTGAACATTGGCATTAGCTGGCTTAAATGCCGCTCTCATAGTTAGTCTGTAATATGCCTCTAAAGTTGGAAAATGAGGTACACTTGTCTGAATACTCTTGAGGTTTGTAAATAACCTTAGTAATCGATATGAATTTGCAACCCTGAAATTAAATACCATTCCACCAAAGAAAAGGCGGGCGCATATGCATTTGCTACTGGTATTTGGATCTGTTTCCTGACTAGCCATTGAGGTCTAGAAGACGAAACTGATAGTCGTAACAGAACTCACTTTGTATGCGTAGTTGCGAACCCTGAGCGTTTTTGTGATCGATCTCTGCTCTACTAAGCCTCTGACTCTAAAGCATGGCTGTGCTTAGCCGGGCCTTGTTGCATTGTAAAGGCGCGTTGTTTAAGATGTCATTTTCTCTATTTAGCATCTGCACCGACATACGTGTATGTCGGTGTCATATCAGTGGTCATCAATGTGGCGGATATCAGCGTTAGCTTGTTTAACTAAAGCTGTGTAGTGGAGTAATCTGCTATTAAGGCTGGGAACGCCATGTCACTTGCTATCTCAGTGTTTTTGAGGGTAGTAAATGAAGCTGAGATCGAACTGAAATCTGCGGCAGAGAAAACACATATCGTATTGCCAATGAAAAACAGCTGTTCTATACTTGCTACCGATACTTAGATTTGTGGCCTGGTGCGAATACAGATTAGCCATAAAGATTGCCATATCACAAAGACCATACTTATGAAGCTCTTGGTAAGGCACAATTCTGCTTGCTTGAGTAACAATAGCCGATGAAAGGATATAAACAAACTGCCAGGTGATTACATAATATGTTTTATGTGCAAACGATGAAGAAAAACGTTTTTCATGTACTCCAGTTATTTTACTCGACTTTGATAAGCAAAATAATTATTTGTTCCGTTGTTTAAAAAGATGCTTCAAATTATTTAGATATCACTTTGAGAAATTTTCTGATCTCTAGGGATATTTAGTTGAAGAGATTCAGATTTAGAGAGCTGTCATAAGGACTGGTTTGATTTGCTAAACAAAAGTTATGACACTCGTTACATTGTATTTCTTCTAAACAATATCGTTCAGACATAAATAATAATAACTGTCAGCTGTAACCTTTATGTACTCATTTTTCATATATCTGAAGTGGTTTCAAAAAAAAAAAAAAAAAAAAAAAAAAAGACTGTCTACTTAGTTAGAAAACATGACTCATATTGACCGAGAATAATTTTCAGTTTACTGTTTCTCTTAACATATAATGTTTTTATCCTTGCTTACTTTTAATTTAGTAATAAGCGTTATATATTTATTTAGGCAGTGACAAAAAAGCCATTTTCTAAGATGAAACAACTGGTGTTAATTTTGTTTTTATTTTATGCTTTTGAGTTTTGCATCAAGACAGCAGATACAAAGAAATTATGTAAGTTTGCAATTTTTATCATTAAAATTCGAGAGACAAATTTAAATTTGTTAAAACAGTATTTGTTCATAACTTGATTTTGACATTGTATGTTACCTATAGACTTATGACAATGATAATACTTAAAGCTGATAATAATAGGCAATATTAGTCAGCGTAACATGAGTATATTTGCACGATTATAATTTCGAAGGTTAACTGGAAATTTCGTATTCAACTATAGAAATAATGATAATTAAAGAAGAGAGGCATGTGGCTACTTGAGAACAACAAGGAGTAATTCGAGAATATTTTAGATAAATGGTAGACATCGAAACAGATGTCACCGTTTGTCGATAGAAATGATACTAAAAGCAATTAAAAAATTCTTATAAAGCTGACAATAAAGAGAAATAAAATTTGGGATCATTAACCAGAACAGAGAGATTAGAGATATTTTCCTCCATATAGATCTTTCCATTCTGATCAATAATCCCAATTCTAATCCCTCTTTATCATTAGAATTTATTTATTAGTTTCGTTTTGTTCAGTTTGCGGTTAATAGATTGCTGTAGGGCTTGTTTATCTGTTGTCTGGAACATTCTGGAATTTCTTTTTCTTGTTCTTATGTAGGTTCTCACAAGTCTTATTGTCATTTTCACTTCCGTAACTGAAGAATAAGGTTATATTTAACATTCACTTAGATTACATTACTCCATTAATTTACTTACATTACTCCATTCTTGTTATTTATTGTTAATTGCATTAATAGTTTTTTGGTATGTTTTTGTTGTTACAATAATAATGTTGTTATTTGGTATTGATGAAAAATATATTAATTTGTAAGCAAATTTTATTTCATTTTTTTTCTAGCACCGAAAGTTTTCCTTACAGTTTCCTCTCTCGCCTGGTTTCAAGCATTCAATTCACCTCACCAGAGAAACATTATTATAAACTATTATGATGTTGATTGTGAAAGAATGAGAAGATCCTATTCATTCGTAGGACTATATTCTCACGATCCAAAGACCAACTTGAGAGATCATTTGTTTATGTACAAACCAAGTGATTGCCCAGAAGGGCGCATTGAAACAAATTTTTCCTTCCCTTATTTTGATTTTGATAAAAAGAACCTCTTTTCTAGATGTCTGGGCTACTGGGCAGTCTACCTGGAAGCGGGTAGGATTGTTCATTCCACATGCCTAAGGACTAATCCCGACTGGATGTATAATATGAAAAATATAATTGGTGACATGACTTTTAACTGCTTGATGATACCAGGCACTCATAATTCTGGGTGTTACTCCAAATACAATCCTTTAAAAGACACCGTGTACGAAAAATATGTCTACACGCAGGAGGAATCGATTTTTAATCAATTGGTGTATGGAATTCGGTGCATAGATTTGAGAGTATGGCACGAGGGGTCTGTTTCGATACCAAGCAAGATTCAAATTACTCATGACAGACACCGCATGGGCTTGCCATCCCTCACAGATGTCCTCCAGGATGTGAAAGATTTTATCAATGCTACAAAAGAGATTGTCATTATAGACATTCATCGTCAGCTAACTGGAATGTTTAACCCCCAGCCGCTTCAGAAGTGGCAACATAAGGACATTGTTGATCTAGTGAAAATTACATTCGGTAAATACCTCATTGAGCATAAATATTCTGAATTACCACTGAAATTCTTATGGAAAATGGATAAAAGAGTTCTCGTTACTTACAAGTATGAGAACTATGATCTAATCGATTCTGCTTTCTCGTTGGCAGTTCACCATTGGTGGGCTGGAGCACAAAATGTTGACTACTTACATGAATATTTACTTAATAAAGCCTGTTCGAATCCATACTACCCGACAGCTGCAGTTGCAGTACTAACGGCAAGTAAATGGATGCCTGTAATAGATCCTACAATGAGTCTCAGGAAAATGGCCGAAAAAGTAAATTACCCTATAAACAAATGGTTCAGGAATGAGTTATCATGTTCCAATATAATTCTGACAGATTATTTTCAAGGCAACAATTTGATTGAAATTGCTATTGAAGCGAACAAAAACGCGAGTCGTTGCCTGGATGCATTTCATTATTATTATTATCAGATGAGTGATTTGGCTAAAGAGCCTCTTGAAATGTATCCTTTTGATTGAAAGAAACAAATATGTAAGAATAGTAAAATGCAGTATTCAAGTAGATAATTAAACAATAGAGCGTAGCAAATAAGTAATAATAATAAAAATTAAAAGTAATAATAGTAATAAAATGTTCTAAAATAAGCATTTTAATATCACTGAAAATAAAACACGGCAATGTAAAATTAAAAAATTAAATAACTTTAGATCGTCATGATAAAGCTCTATTAATTTCGATGACTGGCAGAATATAAGTCTCGTTTTCAGAAGCAAAGCATTTTTAAAGCTAGAAAGACTAAAATTCATATTTACATGGAATCTTTGGAAGTAATGAAACAGAAAAGAATGTATTGAAGAAATTAATAATGAAATACAAAAGGGCAAAGCAGTCAGAATTTTGAAAGCGCTGGAAAGGACTCGAATCAATGTCATTAGCTAAAGAAGAAATCCTTCTCGATAGGCGGGGCAACAATCATTTTCATTTTTCTTTCACCATTGATTTCAATATACGTATGATTACTGTTCCTCCTACGTTTGCAAAATTTTTCTTGTCGAGAAGAAGGACTTACATATGATCACCTATAACATCTATAGAATTTTATTAAAATTCTCTGAGAATATAAGCTTGGTTTTTTTGCATAATATTTTTACATCTGATCACCTATAAAATCCACAGAGTTTTATTAAAATTCTCCGAGAGTCTAATGTTATTTGTTTGCATAATAATTTTCATATAAAAGTGGAAAAAATATTTATATTATTATTTTATTTGTATTATTATTTATGTTTTGGAAAAGAAGACAGTTATATAATGTTTTGAAGATAGATAAAAGAAATAAAAACTATCTTTGCTGCTTTGCTATACACAATAATTATAATTCATATATCACACATTGAACTACTGACATATTTAAATGACAAGTTCGTTTTCTTCGAATGAATAGTTGATGTAAATTACATTTTCTTTGTTAACAAAATTATTTACAGTTCTTTTCTGAAAGACTTCTATATATAACTTGCAACTGAAATTGATATGTTTTTAATCTTTATTTACTATATTAGAATAACATTTTTAGTATTGACTATTTGTTTATTTATTGCATGTGTTTAGATAAAAGACTTACATTAGAAAAGAGAGTCTAAATTTTAGTTTTTTGAAGGCAAAATAAGAACCAATTTACAAGTTGGTATGCTCATTTATATAATTGTAATAAATGCAATTAAACGTCTGAATTTAATCGCATATTCGTAGTTACGCATGTTTACTTTTATCTATCTAGAAATTGTTTGCACTTTATTGAAGTGAAAACAACAAAAGGAACAGAGATATTGTTGAAATCATTTACACTGACATGCGAAACACAAAAAGGATATTTGAATTTTGTTATGGATAACAGTTATGCTACAGGGTCTGAAATTATTTGTAAAAATGCTCATTGTATCGGATATACTGAAAAATTAATTATGAATTCTGTTTGAGACAGAATATGAATAAATGGGCAGATGTGGGACAATGTTCAGATATTTCGGAAAAACAATTATTGACAATAATATGGGAACAGAAATATTTTAATTGACATTTGTTTTAAGTTTTTTCTCTTAATATAGTTAAATTTATGATAAATAACTTATTAAAATGAAAGGAAGATATTATTAATAGGAAAGACATCATAAAGCATACACTTCTTTAAATTTTACATTGTTCTTCTTTTTAATCCTAGAACAAACTTTATTAGAATTAGATTTGAAGGAAAGAATATCAATAACAGTAGGCATGCAATCCTTTAGACTTTTGAGACTGTGTTTGTGAACGAATATATTACGCACTTTCTTCTAATAATAATAATAATAAAAAGTGTATCGTATATTTGTAGGAACACAAATTTGTTACCAATACCTTATTGATACATCCTGGCGTTTATGCTACCTCCAGAAACATGTAACTGATTGTTGTTGTGGTAATGAACCCTGATTGTTATTGTGGTTAGTGTTCCTAGCAGCCGTATCATTTAGCCTGGGTCCGAATGATGGAGAAGTCCTGGATACTTGTTAGTGTCTGTGAGGCAGTAGAACATTTAAAATGCTGGCGAGCCGAAACTTTTCTCTAAAGAGGTCAGGTGGTAGAGGAAGAGGAGTCGAGGAGAATATTCAATTTGTCCCTTAGTTTGTTCTCCTTCAAAATTTGATTGGACTTCCTCTTTTGAGGGGTTTAAAATCGGTCGCTCCCTGAGCTGCACCAAGGGCAACGTTTTCGTTGATGAGACGGTTAGATGATGGATAGATTCAGCCTTTTCCAATAAATGCTTAATTAGTATAGTGCTCAACTGTTAAAGAAGAAGCTTTACAATGAAAAGTAAGGACCGTTTCTCTTTTATGAGTTAAACAGGTTTCCTTTTAATGTCGAATAACTGCAGAAGAGACGGTTCATTTCATTTTACGGTCAGGGGAAATATTGTTTACTCACATTCTTTGTAATCTTTATTGATCTAAGCCGGAGATTCTTACGAGGTCAATATGGATGTCGACGAAATTTTTAAGGAGGACCATGGATAGTTAGCCGAATATGCACCGGCAATTTATTTGCATAATCAAGATCCTATTAAATATATAAAAATTAGGAATAAAATTTATAATTAACTATTTATTGGTATAAAGCTATAACATATAGTAAAGAAGAAATATAAATATAAGGCAAAATATGCACTAAAACTGAAATATATCTCATCTTGGTATTATGATACAAGAAGAGTTGATTACATTGAAATAGGAAGTTCAATACTAATTCAATGTAATAAACTCCTCTTGCATCATAATATCAATTCCAAGACTTCTTACATCATAATACGGATGACCTTTAAATTTCAAAACTCACCTAACCCATGCATTTTGAAGTAGATTTACGAGTGAACATCCTACTTCAATGTCATGAGCTCTTCTTGCATCATAATTCCAAGATCAGATATTTTCAGTTTTAGTGCATGCTTTCCCTTATATTTATATTTCTTCTTTCTGAATTTTTGTACATATATATATATGCAGTTTTGTATATATATATATGTATATCATATTTTTAATGCTGACGCCGCCACAAATGAATTTTGAAGAAGTTCCAATCTTTATTGTCACGCATATAAAACCATCTTAGTAGATATTTATCCAATCATAATGAATTAGAATAATTTCTTACATAGTATACTGAGGATTAGACGTCATTTTAGAATAAGATAAAGGTAGGCAGAGAGTAGCATAACATTGCTAGCGTGGCTGGAGCTAGGAAAAGTATAACGTAGTTTTTTGTGCCAAGAGTATTTATACTGCGTCTGATGTATAAGTACAGCTAATTTGTGATTGGTGAATTTGAGGTTGTTACATAACATGGAAGGATCTCGAATTTGGGAGAACATGAATTTAGGGGAAAGCCCCAAATCTAGAATATTTAATTTTGAGGTCGCCAGTTATTTTTAAAGCAGCTATCGTATTTTGTTATATCTTATATATACATATGATTGGATAAACAAGATTCTAAAGTTAAAAGTAAATTTGAGTCAGAGCAAGGTTATTCCTCAAAAATATTAATATTAGCAAGCGTGCATAAGAGGTTAACACAAAATCCAATCATATCAAAATTAAAATAAGAATTCATAGTAGTACAAAATCTAAAAATAAAAATGAAAATGCAAAAGATAAAAGTACAAGATAATAAAAATATAAAAATAATAATTAATCTCCTTTTACTGAAACTCCAATTTAGAACTCATCGAAGTAAAGGGAATTAAAGGTTCACAAAAGTCGATTAATATGTTTCGAAAACATGTTTCGTTCTTCTGGTTCATTTGAGATCAAAAACCGAAAAAAAAACGAATCTTTTAAATTTTCATTTAAGACACTAAAATTCATATAAAACCGAAAACTCGAATCTCAAGTGTACCAGGATTTTACCTACACGCCTTCGATACACTTGCTAAAACAGATAAAAACATAACATTGTGCTAAATTGGCTACTCGAACAAAATCACAAAACTTTACATTATGTAAAAAGACCATTTGAAAAAATCAAATTAGTCTTAAATCATTATATATAAATCCGAAATTCGAAAGCAAATAAATATAAAAAGTAAAACAATTATACTTTAAGCCAAACAAACTGTCATTTAAACAACGCTCAAAACCTGGGTGGTACCCGATTATGCAAACTATATATACATATATACCGATGCATGCATGTAATAAAACCAAAATCTAATATATCATTTTACGAAACGTTTTTTAAAATTATTAGTCTAATTGTTATCTAGAAGTTATTAACGTGCAGTTATTCCTATTATAATTATGCTGCATGCTATACACTATAGAGATAAACGTGAGGGGGTGGATGAAGAAATTCTGATAAAAGAGAACGACGCGAGAAAAAGTTTCCGAATCTCTGGTCTAAAGGCTTTCGCAAAGTGTATGTTGTTGTGACGTGGGTGGGTGGTAAACATAATCTTTCACCTCTCTGTTGTTATTCTATTTAAGTTATTACTCACTAGAACGAAGTTTTTCCTTCGCTTAGTACCTGAGCAAGAGGAAAAAGGTATTTTGGCAAACGAGGACATACCGTTCATAAAAAATGTAAAAAAGAACCTTTTTAGTAAAACAGAACTTGAACATAAGAGCACTCTGATGCTTAACAAACAGCTACCACTTGAAGAGATGAAAGAAAAGTAACAGACACATTTAAATTAAAAATATAGTCAAAGACTACATAATTTAACTAAGACCTAAGTTGGCTCAGAACTTCTCGTCAGCGTAACAATTTAAATGACGGCCACTATAACCCAAACTGAAAACTTCAATCTTATAAGAGTTGGCAAAATCTAGTAAAGGGGCTTCGAAAGACAGAAACATGCTTAAATACTCTCTACCTCAATACAGTTTCTGCTGAGGAAACGAAAAGGAGAAGTTATAGCAAAGGCTGAAATAACTGGTTAAGGCAAAATAATAGATATTGTTGTTGTCTTGTCCATGAATTTTATCGAAGAATGGTTGCCAGAGCCTCAAGCAAGTTGGACTTCTACTTCGACTTCAGTTTTGAGGGAGAACACTCCGAGGATCTCCCCCTCTTCTTCCCTATCACCAAACACACGAGAGGACAACATTATGCTGGCCATATATTTAGTGTGGCATATGCTGAAAAGACACTCTACATTTACAAGCATCCATGCCCTCTACCGGTTTCGAACCCGAGCCCTTCGGTACTGAAGTAGGCTACGATAACCACTATACCGTATGAGTGGCCAAAGTAATAGTAACTCTAAAAATTAAAGCTCTTTATTCTAACAAACAATTTCAAAATTCTGAAGAAAATAACTGATTTATCATCTGTGTTATATAATACAAAATACGCAAACAAATTCATAATTATCATTATGGCGTCAACAGTAGTTATTTAAATAAACTCATAAACAAAATAAGTTTATTTACATTCTCACTATTTCTCAAACATTTAAAAGATTAGTCTTCCTCTGCGTTAATGCTAACAAATGTGAACCGCTAACAAATTCTCATGCATTCCATTTAAAATGGAATATTAACTTTAAACTCCTCAACCAGAACTTCGTAACCGTGTTGCCACACGGGTAGCTTAGAATGTATGATTATACTTTCCAGAAATGCACCATCTATGAGGCGAGAAGATTTATCACGTTACTGACTTAGGCCATTTTCTCTTCATGTAAGTGATCTTACTTCCCTTCAATGACAGAAACCATTAATCACAGGTCCTGGTAATTGTAAAACTTCAGAGCAACAAAGCATCTTGATATTTACTTTGAGTGTGATTTTCATTAAGGAGTATCCTTATTTTTTTCAGGAAGTGAAACATTTATCACTTCTAGCACATAGCATTTAACAGCTAGGATGATCAACATTTTTTAATTTACCTCAATACGTACTTTAACGACTGATTAAGATACGCATGTAATTAATTAATTTCATATTTAAGTACTTGTTAGAAATTTCAAGATTTGACGACAAGAATATACTGAATTTTGCGAAAGAGATATTTTCGATCATTCGGTGACACTTAAGTGAAAGGAATGAAAAACTGAATAAATTGATTTACTAAAAATTTTTGAAAGATGGACTTGGAGACTAAGATTATTCATTCGATTGTCTTTGTTAGCATTTTTTAGCACAACTA